TGTTTATCTTGTATTTGATTGTGTTTATCTGCAGTTAGTTACAAGAATTCAGATATGGGATGAAATCGGATAGGGATGAAATCGTTTAGAGATGAACGAGTTTAAAAGTTTTTAAGAGTATTTAAGAGTTTTATCCAAATGTTTTATAAGATAGTATAGATTGAAAGACAAAATACAGTCTTAAAATGTACATACCCATTTATAAAAATAAAATAAAAAACACCTAGCTAAAAAGTGTTGGGAAAAAGACTAAAGGGGCCCTCATATCATGGCCCATAGCGCCAAATAAAGTCATTATAAAACATGATATAACAAATCTTAGAGAAGCCCATATAATTTATTAACCAGATCTCAGCCCAAATAATTTCTTAAGCCCATTATCCATATGCTTCCCAAACTATAATAAATCATGAGCCTAAAATATCTCATCATATAATATTATAATATAATATACGATAAAGCTGTTAGTCAACAAAAAGAAAAAGCAAGATTTTCCACCATGAGTCCTCTTTCTAGAGAATGGTACAAGTGAAACTGTGATGGGTTGAGTGCTAGTTAGAGGTCCAAAAAGGATTTAGTTATTCAGGAGCGTCTCATATATTTTGGAGATAGCGATTATTGTTAGGTTTTAGTAACACCCGACCTTAATTTAGACTTTATGTAAGCCTTGGTTGATCAGTTGTTGGTGTTAAATCTATATCTGCTATTTGAGGTAATCAGGTATTGATTTATAGAAAGGGATTTCTCCTTTATTTGATGTATTATCGAAAATTTTAATTTAGTTGTTATTTCCAGATTTTGAGGGTGTTACAAGCGACACTTCAATTTTAGCCTCTCCATCCCGGGCAGGTAAACCCTCAAGACCCGACCATGATTGAACATAGTTGGATTTTGAGGGATTATGCTTTAAACTATACTCTTTTCTTGGACATTTTTCTTGAAAGTGTTGTGGTTCTTATTCACATCCATTATATCTAACATGTCACTAGAACTTCCAATGAGGAGACATTCAAGAAAAAAATGGCTCATGATTCCACCTTCACAAGAACACCATATAACACAAGAATAGACCAAGAAAAGCAAATGAAGCGTCAAAGACCAAGAATTGATTGGTTGTGTTTATACGAAAATTTTACGATCTCATTATATAGCTCGAGTTTGCATAAAGTTGACACAACTACTTGTTTTGTCTGTGAGTAAACTTCATATAAGGACAATCTTTTTTCCACAATCATACCACTAACTTGCTTTCTACATGTTTTCATGCTATATACTATATGTATTAAAACTGAATTAACTATTTTCTTTATTATAATGATCCAACATTTTGAATTTTACATCTCGCTGCATTGCACGAGCACAATCACAATACAAGTCAAATAAAAAGAAAGATGTTGTTCCGGAATGATTTGGGTTTGAGAAAATCATGTGGAGAATTGATGTAGAAGGTTTCACAATAGAGAGTTGAGGAAGAGCTATCATGTTGGAGAGGTTTCAAATCTAGAGAAGCATACCTGAGAAGATATAGTGGTGAGATTGAGAACAAGAATGAGATTGCGATTAGATTAGATTAGATTAGGGCATATATAAGGGTATAAAAGTCTTTTTCAGAAGATGAGATGAAACGGATTTTAAACGCCAAAGAATTTAAGTTCAAACATACGTGGGATTGAAATTTCATAATAAAACCCAACAAACCATTTCTAGCGTTTGTGAAACAAACAAAAACATCAACTATTAAGCACTCACATATTAATTAGACCAAAAATGTAATTAATAATATGATTATAAGTGTTTAAACAAACAATTGATGAACTCCGCTATCAAAATATGAAACTCAAAAAATAATAATTTCATTTTTTGTTTTAATATATTAAAAATAACTTTTTTGTATGCATCATATTAGATGATAATAGTAAATACAAAAAAGACAATAATCACTAACAAATGTAACAATCTAACATAAACACTATTTTAAAAACAAAAGTGTGGTCATTAAATAACGTCTACAAGGTTCTATTTATGCGTTTATTTTATTTTCACAACGACACATGAATGGATGAGAACATGTTTTGTCTTGAGATCTATCATCGTAGTTCTCGATTAAATTTAAGAAAGAATGCATGCTTTAAGAATCAGTATTTTATATAATATATATATATATATATATATATATATATATATGTATATAGAGTTTGTTTCAATACAACCTGTTGCATTTGTACAACCAATGCAACCCAATAAATTRAGATATTTATGGAAATGATGAGAGTTCATTTATTATGATTTGAATATTTATGGAAGATGAATATGGTTCATTAATTATGATCAATACTTTATATTAGGAAAAAATCAAAACTTCTATGAAATCACATATTAATCAAATGAAATGGACGGTTGAGATTGGGTTGTATTGGTTACACAAATGTCAAGAGTTATATAATAACCAACATATATATATATATATATATATATATATATATATATATATATTACAAATCAAAATAAAAAAGAATTGGATGATAGTTGGTAATTGCATCCGGAAATTAAGATCTATGTATGTTAGAAGCAATGCAAAACATTGTCAGCATTTGTCGTGATACATGCTTTTTTTTTGTCTTAATTGCCTCCTAATCATAATTAATTAATTCAACAAATTATTTTTAATAATCTTCTTGTCTTTATTTCCAAATTCTTGAATCTATCACTCTTTAGTCTTTTATATTTTTTATACAAAAACAACTTATTATAATCGTTGATCTTTTTTTTTCATCCCGTGTGGTTGGTGATACGCTTGGGAAATTTTCTCGTATCTGAGATCGATTTTTTCTTAAAAGTAAGAATTTTTTACCATATGTTAGACATTGTTGTTATCAACTTGTCCCCATATTCTTTTGCAATAATTGAGAGGGGTTTGCATCGATTATGAATCAAATCAGATAAAAACAAAGTAAGTCAGAACTGAAAACCGAGGTAATATAACCTGATTTGATTTCGTTTGAAATTGTTTCAATTTCAAATCAGACTATGAATTGAATACATACTTGAATTCATTTTTATTTGAAATTTTCAAACATGAAAGATCCTCTCACCCTCCGATGTGAACATTCCAATGCGATACTTGTTGTATACACGTTGTGATACATTAATTAAGATCATCGTCTCTATAGATTCATTGATACCTATTGTTTACACGTCGTGATACCTTAAAATACACGGTGTGATACCCAAACCATACATGTTGTGATACCTACTGAACACATTATAATACCACTGCATAGATGAGAAAGAGACAACAGTGTTCATAGGTATTAGGGTTCCTAAATCAATGAGATATAGGGAGAGAAAAAAATGGAAGATTGATACCATTATGAAAATTGAATAGATGGAAATAAGAATGTTACCAGATCTTGATTTGTTAGATTGTCATGAAAAAAAAAATACTAATTTATCCTTTTTAATTTAAAAACATTTAAAAAAATACTAATTTAATTATCTCAAATTTAAAAACATTTTTAATTATCTCAAATTACAGAATTCTCATTTGATTAAACCCAATTTATATTATATATATAACATTTAGGGGCCGTTTATTTAATATTTTTAGTTTTCTTATACTATTTTTAATTATGTAATAATTTTAGTTTTCTTTAAAATGAATTAATTACGTAATATTTGTATTTGAGAATCGGACGTATTTAATCTGTTTATTTGTTTGAATTAAGGTCTATGTTATCGTTAATTTATAATAAAGTGTGTTTTGATATTTAATTTGTTTATTTGTTTGAACATTCCAAAACATTTTTTTCTTCGATACATGTTAAAACATCATTTTTTTTCCTAAAAAATTCTTTTAGATGATAATATAATAGAGTTTCACATATTTTTTACAATTTCAGATAATAAAAACTAAACAATAATAATATAATTAAATAATAATTTTGACTGAGAAATAGAAAAAAAGATGACACGACCAGTTTTATCTATTTGGTCTGCTTTGATATAGAAAGGTGCATGCCACATGAGCTATCTGGTCATTTTGCCGACATCCACACTCCTTCCCAACATTTTAAGAATCTTTCACTCCACTTTTACTTAAATCCCACCTTCACACTGACCTGTTTGCTCATCTTTCTGACTCAATCTCCAACCTTTTCACCTCATTTCCCAATTCTAAATACAACCCATTTCGAATCATCACAATCCCACTAAACCCTTTTCATCTCATCCATCCTCATCAACAATACAAACACCATATCTATATCTATATCTACCCACACAACATTACCCTATATCTAATTCTATACGCATACCATTTCAGTAATCTCAAGACACCAAGTCCTCATGGCCATGAAACAAATTCGAGGTTTCAGAATTCGACTCAAGCTCGTTAAAGCCATCAAATGGGCGATTCAAGAAAGACAGAAGGATTCCGGTTACTGTAAACTAAAATCAACAAATTGTGCGGATAAAGCCATCACAAAGCTCTGCAAATTCGGCAGGAATTTGAAGACAAGTGTGAAAGAGTTATGGTTTCGGAAATCTGGTTCAAATTATAATCGGGTCGGTGATAAAACTCCGGTGCCGAGAGGGCACTTGGCGGTGTACTTTGGTGAAGAAGAAGATGATGCGCACCGAGTGTTGGTGCCGGTGGTTTATTTTAATCATCCACTTTTTAGTGATCTGTTAAGAGAAGCCGAGAAGGTTTATGGGTTTAATCACCGCGGCGGCATCCGTGTACCCTGCCGGATATCTGAATTCGAGAACGTACAAACCAGAATTTCCGCCGCCGGTGGACGTGGTGGCAGAGGAGGATATGGGTTGTAACCCACGTCACCTATTTTTCGTTGAGGCCAATTTTTCAGATTTATGGGTTTAATACATTGTTTTTTTTTATTTTAATCCTCAATTGTTAGTCTTTTGGTGACTTGTAAATATAATTTCGATTTTATCTATTTTATTTCATTATTGTGCTTTTATAAATTCATCATAAATTAATCATTTTAATTCTTAAAATACAAAAATAAAATAAAAAGGTATGCAATGAGATGTCAATTGAAAGGTTAGAAATGGATTAACTTTGTCTATTATGAAGTTCTGAATGTTTATTGTTCTTTTTTGTTGTCAACAAGAAGTTGAGATTTATTTTGGTGGACCGTTCAAGTTTCATTTATCTATTTAGTTTTAGTGGTCGTTTATTTAAATGATTATCTGGTAAGATTCAACATTCTCAATCACCTTATCAAGTAAATTTCCAGTCCATCAAGACGTTATCGTATACAACAATTTTCTTGATAAACGCTAATCAGGTAAAAGTTGTCATCCTCATTGGGTAAGACTTTTGGTATTTACCATCGCTCTTACCGGGTAAGATTTTCAATATTTGTTATATCCATCCTATAAAATAATTGCATACCAAGTAAGTGGTGGGTAAATAGTCCCTAAATCTAAATGAAAATTTGTCTTTGACTTTGAATTATTACCCTTTGACTTATGTTTTTCCCTAAAAATGGGTAAAAGTGCGGATTGAGGATAATAATTTTGTCCTCTTAATGCTACTAGTTGAGTTGGTTATGAATGTTAACTCACCTCGAGAAGGTCCTAGTAAATTTGGTTTCGCAAACATCAGCTTGATGATCCAAAGACATTATGCATCATGTAAAAACAAGGTGGCTCAAGTGGAGAGATAATACGTGGGTGTTATTTGATAAGAAAGTTCCACTTAAATGAAATTAAAGGGCAAACTTTATAAAGTAGCCATCTTGCCACCTCTGTTGGTTGTATGAGTCAAAGTGTCGTGTCACAAGGAAGGTCGTTAAGAGAAAATTAGAAGTTATGTAAATTAGAATGCTTAGGAGGGCATGTAGTCAAACAAGGTTAGAGAGGGTTTCAAATGAGTTTTTCGGAATGGAGATAGGAGTTGCCCTATTAACAGATAAATTGAAAGAGTGGAAGTTGTGTTGGTTTGGGCACATGAAGGCACAAGTGAAGAGAGTAGATAGAGTGACGGTCGAGGAGTGAGGAGGAGGGGTAAGTCAAGGAGGACATACAATAGGCAATGAGATTGGATATGACGACTTTGGATATTTCCAGGAATATAACCGCTGATAGGACTAGTAAAAGGTAAAGGATCAAGTTGGAAGACTTGGTGCAGGAAACTATAGCCAGCATAGTTATGGCATGTTTGTTAGCAACTTAATGGGCTTAATAAGACTCCCAACTTAGTTGGTCAACTATACATGATTATATGATAGTCTCTTAATGATATAGAAAGTGGCTTATTAACTAAACTTCTAAGGATGGGTTTATGCAGAAAGCCAGGTTTTTTCCAAACCTGCATCTCCCAATTAAAAATTTCGCTCCCTCCACCTATGAAAAAGCTCTCCCAAATAAAGACCTTCCCAATCGATATACACAAATCAATCCACATACACAACTTTATCCACACAAAACTTAGGGATTGTTCGATTGCAACTTAATGGGCTGTATAAGCTATATGACTTATTTGACAGCCATATCTAGTTGTTCGCTATGGGCTTATTCGGTCAGCCCATGGCTGAATTGCTCAGTTTGAAGGCCCTTCTCATGTACACTCGACCATTAAATTGCATTAATTTTCCCCAACTACCCCCTCTCCCCAACTACTCACATTAAACTCCTATACATGGCTCCTTCCCCATCAACACTCCTTTTAGGCTTCCCATCGGCGCTCCTCCCAACTACACGCCTCCTCCAGGTCTAGCTTCCAGCCCTCGTAGTCACCGGCATTCCACTAGTTCCATCCCTCGTCGGATGTTGATCTTCCAACCTTATTGTCCAAGGAACCCACACCTTAAGAAATATCTCAAAACAAATCTGGTATATTGGCAAGCATGAAGGTTTGATATTGGGGACTTAGCACAGAGGTTTTGAATTCATCAACAAATCCTTTTTCTTTCTTTTGTGCTTCCTCATCCATTTTGAGTTTTGGATTAATGGGTTGTGTATGAATCAATAGATGAGTTTTGTATTGATTATTTTTAATTTTGATGTTTATGGGTTTTGTTTGTTGTTTTTCTTTTGTTATTGTGTATGTTCATAGAAAGAAGAAATATCATTGGAACTTGGGACAAAACAACAAATTAATTTTTTTTGTTAATGAAAAAGCTAAAAAATAAAAGGGTAAAATAGTCATTTATATTATTCAAACAGTTTATTCAACACACCAACCGAAAAACAATTTATTTGTTATCATGCAAACTTCTTTATACATACAAGCCTTAATTAAAAAAAAAACGAAACAAACAACCCTTGTTGAAAAACCAACCAAACAACCCCTTAGTAAGTTAAGGGATAAGTTAAGGGATGGTTGAGGGTTCACATTATAAGGATAAGAGTCGCTTGTTTGAACATACCTTTTTGTGCGTTTTCATTGCATCTCATGTTTCTTCATGTTCGTTCGCCATACGTTTGTATATGCTCACATTCTTGCACATATACGTCTTCATGAAAACAACTCTTCTACCACTTCAAATAGAAGACAGGTCTATATACATACCACCATCCACAAACACTACTCTCAAGTGAGATTAAACAGGTCAATTTTGTTTGGTTTGGTTTAAATTAGCATTGATGAGCTTAAGAGTCGTATATCAAACACTTTCCCGGTAAGCCTTTACCGATAAAATGTAACACCATCGTTTACTTACCAGGTAAGATTCTAGTCCACCAAAATGGTATCGTGTACAACACTTTACCCAGTAAGCGCTTATTGTGATAAGAGTCGTCACCCTCACATACCGGGTAAAACTCTTGGTCTTTGTCTCACTCTTACCGGATAAGATTTTTGGTTCTTACCATGTTCATCCGATGAAATAATGTGACTTAGTGTTCATTTACCCGAGTTGAGTTGGTAAACAGCCCCTTAGTGAATTAGTTCAGGTTCCATCAGGCCGAAGTCAATTTGGAACATGCTTATACTCGATCCTCAAAATTCAACTCCTATTTAACAACCCTTGCAAATATATCAAATTTCTAAAAAGATTCATTAGTTCAACCCAAGCGATAAAGTATACATTCTCAGCAAATTGCACCCACAAAAGTTTGAAAACCTGGCCCATAGACCAGGTGCTAAAGAGCTCAAGTTCAACTTACGCAAATCAGCCAAGAAAGGAGGGCACATGGCTGCTGCAGAAAAGAAACTTTCAAACCAGAAACAAAGCATTTTAGCACCTAATCAACCAACCACTACAACAGCTTCCATCTTCGTACTACTACATCTACCATCAATTCAAAAACGTCTTCTCTTTATATGTATGTATGCCAAACCAACAAGCATGCAGACAGATTCAGAAAAATACCAAGGACATAATGGGGGTTTTTAAAATAATTCTATTCCAATAACAGAGACACAATCAATTAATTCATTCATTTCAGAAAACAAAACCTCCTCTATTTCATCTGCACAATCCCAGCGCTTATCAGTTTTTGGATTTTGTTCATCACCG